AACCGCCAGCTGCTGCGTGGGAGCTTTTTACTCCCTTAAGAAGTTAATCTTGGGAGCCCACATGGAAGAAACACACCAGCCTGTGGGGTCATGAGGTGTCAATGGGTTTAGGTATCAGAAGTTCCAACACAAGCAATCAAAGTGACGTGAAGGTGTATGGACAAAGTGGAGACCCAAAACCCACCTGCAAGATAATTGGACAGTCCCGCACAGAAGCCACCTACCCCTGCTCACTTCCTCTTTCTGGGCTGCTGTTAGGGCTTTGTGGGCATTGAAATGGTGTGAGAACTTCCTCTCCACCAGTTTCCAATCTCAGTTCCTGTCATTTTATAGTTCGTTGCCTCAACTGAAACTTTTATTTAGCCAGCCTTTCTTCACTTGGCAAAGATTCTTGCTGCTTTCAAATCAATTCTGACTCAGCAACTCTCTAGGACACAGTAGAACACTCACAGAAGGCCCACATGGAAGGAATATTAAATCTAGGGAGTGGTATAGCACTGATGAAAGACACAACTATCCTCTAGTTCTTTAATATTTCCTCCCTTACTTTTATGGTCTTTGTTCCACCTAATTAATTTTGTTAGACCTGCACATGTTCATGTGTATAATTGAGAATGCCTGATGCATGAAAACCAAGATAGATAACCCTTCAGAAACAGTACGGGGAATAATGATTCCTTGTGGGTATAGGAAGAGAGGAGGAGTAAGTGGACAAGGGGGAGCTGATAGCAATGATGACTGTATAAGCCCACTAGAGGGTAACCAATAACAAAAGTGCAGGTGAACAGATACAGTGGATGGTATAAGATAAGGCAAATAATAACAATACTAATATATAATATAATAAGGGTTCCTGGGTGGTAGGGTGGGGGGAGAGAAGGGATAAAGAGGAGCTGATATCAAAGAGTTCAAGAAGAAAAAAAATGTATTGAAACGGATGGTGGTAGCATTTGTACAATTGTGCTTGATCTCATTGAAATATGGATTGTTACAATATCTGTAAGAGCTCCCATTTAATAATAATAATTCCCCCTTTAAAGACCCACAAAGAGCTGAGTTTTATGAGTGTTAGAAGTTTCAGGTTTACATTGGCACCCGTAGGGCTCCTCCCCAACGTACAGCTTGCCTGGAAGCTGCTCACAAAGTCATGCAAAGTGTCCCTTTCGACTCCGGGCTCCTGCCTTTTCAATGATTCTGCAGCGAGGCATGGTGGACGACCCCTGATTGACCCCATTGGCGGAATTGAATTCACCTGGCCTAGGTGGGCCAATCCAGGTGCAGCGCCCTCCCATGCCTACAGAGAGCGGGGGACCTGAACCTCTGAGCATGTGCAGTGTGCCACTCCTTTGTTTCCATAGCTTGGCCCTATGGGCATGTGTTAACAGACTTCCCAGCCCTCTGCTAGCCTGCCTAACAAAACCTTACTGAAACCGTTCTGCTCTGTCCTATAGAGGGGTCACTCTGAGTTGGAGTTGATTCCACGGCAGTAGGTTTTGGAGTGTGTTACACATATACATTACATGTTTCTACTGATGGATATTTGGCTTGCTCCCACCTTTTGGCTATTGCCAACAGTGCTTCAATGAATGCTGTTGGAATGCTAAGCTTCTGTGTGGGTATCTAAATACTCATTTTTTAATACTTGTGCCAGGCTACAGGACAATAGTGTGTTTCCACCATGTACATATCTGTTGTCGATTTTCCACAAGTTTTGTGGCCTCACTAACAAAGAGCCTGACATGGTTGCTTGATTAATAATGGTTACTAAATATTCTGGGACACTCAACACCTGTTGTGTGAAGAGGACTTTTATTAATAGTGTAAAGTCTATGATTAGAATACTACAATTTGCTGGGCTTAACAGATATTTTAGCATCAAGATGTTTATGGAAGAAGGTTTGAATTTGCTGCCAGGCATCCACCTGTGCTCTTCCATGAGCCCTTGGCTCACCTCCATAGAACACTGGTAGGCCCAAAACTGGATGCACTGAGGCTATGCGAGCAGGAAAATAAGGTGGGTCAATACAATGACCAGCTCCTGGGTAGCAGATTATCTGGGGTCTGTCTTTTCCATGGGCCTGTAACCGGTCAGAGGCTATATGAGCATAGAATTCGCTCTTCCAGTTATGGTCATCCTTGCCAACAATAAACAAGAAGGGCCCTTGAGCTTTTTCCAGTGGTATGAGACTTTGGTGGTTAGGCTTTTCCAGTGGGTTATTCCAAATATGCAAACTCTCCAGAAAGCCTGACTCGGTGACTGTACATTTGCTTAGGTCACTGCCAAGAGAAGGAATAGTCATTTCCTTGTAATGCAGAGCAGTCATTGAATTTGCCACACAGGAATTGACGAGTACAGTGGCTGTGATGCCCTTTAAGAAGGAGGCCATGGAGAGACACAGGTCACCGCCTTTGGAGAAGCCTATAAGTCCAATATTAGCGCCTTTCACCTGATGAAGAGAGAGAACATCTTAGCATTTATAAATGGGAGACATAACAATGACTTTACATCTCCTAAGTAGCTTTCTCAGAAGTCATTTACTTTCCTTATATATCAGTCCACAAAGTTCAGACGTGGCTTCTAACAAACAACCCATCAACCAATTGTAATGAGCAAACTCAAAAATATCTTCTATTTTCCTGCATTGTAATTATCCCTTCATAACAAATTAGAAGGGCTCAATTTGAAGTCTTGGATCTCCTTGAGATTCTCTATCAGAATGTGGCAAGGGAAGAGCCAACTCTTGGCTTCAGCCCCTTACTACTGGCCCATCCTCTTCCTTTTCCCGTTCCTGGCTTCAATGCATACTTTGAGGTACCTTGAACATGTGTGAAATATCCCAGTCTACATAGTAAGGCCTATGGGACACAATACATTGGGTAAATCTGCTGCACAAGATCTCTTTAAAGTGTTGAAAAGCAAGGATATTATTTTGAAAAGTATGGCATGCCTGACTCAAGGCATGGTATTTTCAATCACCTCCTATGGGAACCCGAGAGCCTGGATGGAAGTGTACGTGGTCAGCTCACCAGCACTCTTGACCACAGGACTTGGAACGCCAGCCTTAGTGAAGTTCGCATTCACAGCCCTGAGATAATGATAGCACCCCAATGCACATATTTTCCAGGATGTGCATAAACATCCAGGAAAGGTGTTTCCCCACATCTCATCCACCCTCCATAAAATGATTTTATAAAACTGTGTCCTACAAACACCTGGCTCCTCACATAGCCAGTTAAAGGACGCTTATCTCGAAGAGCAGTCAACTCCCTTTGTCTCTTATTCTTAAGGTGCCATTCACACAGTTTGTCTCTCACTCACCTGAAGTGTTCCCCTACAGAGCTCAGGATATTGAAGATTAATACATTGCCCATTCTATTGTGTATGTACTCCCATCAAAACTGAAAAAAGCTCCCCTGGGTGGAGCTTTCATAGTACAGATTTTTCCCACTAGGCAGGCAACTCTGCTCCGAGTTAGTGCACCCAGTGGCATCACCTGGGATGGTTCTATCTGGTCATGGTAAATTTTTTCATGAAAGCAGTTTCACTCAAACCTTGTTGTTTGTTGTTTTTTTTTACAAGAACACTTTGTTCTAGTAACCTAGCCCTCATTGATACTCACCTTCCCGACATAATCCTTGAAGACAAAATGGGTGCATAAGGAAATGGGGTGAAGAAAGTGGATGGTGCCCTGCTATCTGGGGTCTTAAATGTTTAAAGTTAAACAAGCAGCCATCTCACAGGGAAGCAAATAAGCCCACATGGAAGAAGCACACCATCCTGTGTGACCA